AGACTCCTGCTTAATGAAACTATGTCGTTAACTGGAGTTAAGACGGCAGAAGTTCACGATTGCTTCACATTAAATATGCAAATGCTTCATTTTATAAAAAAATATTCCACTATTTATTTCATCTGGACAATTCCGCATATCACCCAGCCGGTGGCGCAAGTACTATCAGTGACGTGATAAGCGTAAAAACCGATTGAAACACCCTGCCCATGGAAATCATGGTTCACTATACTCTATAGTACTACACAGTTGAACCTCGATAACTTGAAAATCTTCAAGTCGATTATCTCCTTATGCCGAATTTTTTGCAGTCCCGGTCTAAATAGCCAAAGAAACAATGCATTGAAAACCTCCATAACTAACGTGAAGGCTTTCCCCCCTCAAACTTCCATAAGTCGAATTTTCTGGAGCCCAATAGGCAATTAATTTGTTGACACAGGGTAGAGCAAATTCATGAAGATGTATTTGTAACTTGATGTGGGTCGAAAGGAAGTGAAATACGGTATTAATTGGGCAAATAAACCCTTTCCTCCAAGTTCAGCATCCCGTCAACTCATTTGAGAAGGAATTGAAGAGACTTACCAGAACACACAAAACCGCTATTTCCATGCTCCTTCGTTATTCTTTGGCAACTCTTTCAAGCTCCTGTGATTACGAAAGAAAAAAGAATAGCTCATTCTTCTAAATTAGCCTCTTCTCGCTGGCTGCTGAAGTGCAACACATTTGAGCATTGACCCCGCTTTCTCAAGCGGTGTGGAATGGCTTTTTCTTCACTTTAAAGAAAATGTCCCCCGACTGAAAAAAAAAATAAAAATACTAGAGACCATATACCGTACTCCTGCTAAGGAAGAGAGTTTGCTCATAAGTTTTTCTGCAGTCTTGCGATTCACCCCTTGGAGTCACGATAGCGATTCGAGATGGATGTAATGCAATTTTCAGACAAATTATTAACTTGAATAGCACCGTACTTCTATTACATACTGAACGTGGTTCCAATTTTCGCTCTACATTTTCACTTAGCATTTCACATAATTGCAAAAAACTTTTAGCGACAATGCCCCAGGTCCTAAAACCAAGTTTAAACATAAATTAAGTCAGTTTTCTTCATTTCAGTATGGATCCCGCAGTGTTCTGGATGCCAGACAAGGGAACTTGTGGACTCACCCAAGGCGAGGGTTCCACTTTTTTGCGTTGGAAATTATACTAAAGCACTCTGAAGACCGGTTACTGCGCATCGTTCAAGATACTGCACAGTACCACCTCCCGGGTACACCAACTCACGAAGTACGATCGAAACACGGCTTCTTCCTGCTTCAAGACTCCTGCTTAATGAAACTATGTCGTTAACTGGAGTTAAGACGACAGAAGTTCACGATTGCTTCACATTAAATATGCAAATGCTTCATGTTATATAAAAATTCCACTATTTATTTCATCTGGACAATTCCGCATATCACCCAGCCGGTGGCGCAAGTACTATCAGTGACGTGGTAAGCGTAAAAACCGGTTGAAACACCCTGCCCATGGAAATCATGGTTCACTATACTCTATAGTACTACACAGTTGAACCTCGATAACTTGAAAATCTTCAAGTCGAATATCTCCATATTCCGAATTTTTTGCAGTCCCGGTCTAAATAGCCAAAGAAACAATGCAGTGAAAACCTGCATAACTAACGTGAAGGCTTTCCCCCCTCAAACTTACATAACTCGAATTTTCTGGAGCCCAATTGGCTATTATTTTATTGACACAGGGAAGAGAAAATTCATGAAGATGTATTTGTAACTTGATGTGGGTCGAAAGGAAGTGAAATACGGTATTAATTGGGCAAATAAACCCTTTCCTCCAAGTTCAGCATCCCGTCAACTCATTTGAGAAGGAATTGAAGGACCAGAATAACAGCGATTAGAATTTCATGCAGATACTGTACTTACGTTCGTCCCACAACAAACATGTTTTTTTTTCTCCAACAACTCAAAACCTCCCTGACTCGAATTTTTTCCGTGGTCCCTTGAAGTTTGACTCGAAGAATTTTGACTACGGTACAGTATATTGACAGAAATATCGGACTAACATTAAATTGGCGTTCCTTCGACTAACTTGAAGGCTTTCACCCCTCAAACTTCCATAACTCGAATTTTCTGGAGCCCAATTGGCTATTATTTTATTGACACAGGGAAAATAAAATTAATAAAGATGTACTGTAACTTGACGTGCGTCGAAAGGAAGTGAAATATCAATTAAAAACATAAACCCTTTCCTCCCAAGTTCAGCATCCCGTCAACTCATTTGAGAAGGAATTCAAGGCCCAGAATAACAGCGATTAGAATTTCGTGCAGATTCTTACATCCGTCCCGCAACAAAAATGATTTGTTTTCCTCCTCCAACTCAAAACCTCCCTGACTCGAATTTTTTGCCGGTCCCTTGCAGTTTGACTGGAAGAATTTTGACTACGGTACAGTATATTGACAGAACTATCGGACTAACATTAAATTGGCGTTCCGATCAGCGGGTATCGTTGACCGCGTTCTCAGATCGGCGCCAATCGACAGTCCCTTTCGGGCTCGTCCTTCAAGAATCCCGGAAGGACCGCGTTGCGTGCCGCGAGGGGGGGGGGGGGGGGGGGAAACCACCAAATACAACTTTCGCCCCTCTACTATCTTCTCCAACGACGGACGACTGGGTCCGTCATCTGTCCGCACATCGCGCCCGCGGGCAGAATTGTGAAATCCCTCAAATTATTATTTCTCCACGCCGGAATGCCCCTAGCATTGCATCTCTTTTTTTTTTTTTCCTTATTCTTCTCTATGGCGTTCGTTCGCATCGAAACCAGAGATGATGACGTTTATCAGACGGCGGGAGACGAATGACACCGACCACGAAGACGAAATCATCATCAGCGCACACTGAGCATTCCTCGACGAGCTTCTCCCAACAACACGCCCCGGCGCTTAATCGGATGCAAACCATGTTCTACGTACATCTCGGCCACAGCTCGTTCCGTGGAAAAATAAAGAAATGAATAAAATGGCCATGCCTCTGGCTATTGTCCGAGTGCCTTCGTTGGATAATAAAACCTCACGGATCATCAAAAATTAAATTCAAGTACTCCAAGGCTGAAAAAAACGTCATCAAAGACCTGGAATGATGTGATACAGGTACTACCGATATCCCCGCAAATCTCGAGGAGCAAAACTGTACCCGAATAACGTCATTAGATCGAATAACAAAGTTAGAATTACAGTCCAAAACTGTGGTTAACCTACGCCAACGGGACTCGTGCAATTACGAATGGGTCCGAGAAAAACAATCAGGGGGCTAATATTTATCGAACTCCTGAAATATCCAAATCCAAGAGTTTCTTCAGTCGAATAAAGCTTTTGCTTGTTATCCTGCCACTGCTTTTTCATCTCAGTTGATTTATTTATTTTTTATCAGAAATTATTTCCAGAATCCTGACGCAGAAGACGCCGATCTTGATTTTCCCTGACTTTCGATTAAAAGTTAAAGTTGATCTGGTGGAAATATAAAACGTGTCGGATTACCATCTCATAAGTCGATTTGCTTCCTTTGAATTGATCTGACATTTCGAATAGGCTAAACGAAGCTTTGATAACGGAGGTTCGCCTATGGTTTCTATTTCCCACGAAGACAAGCATTGAACTTTTTTGCGGCAGAGTAAAAACACGGTAATTTACTAAACGTCTTGGAAGTTGAAGCTGTAGACCAAATTTCATAATCACAACTTCCTGAAACTGGAACGAGGTCAGCATAGAGCCGACAGATTCGAATTTTATGAACCAAGAAAACTACCTTGAATTCTTTTTTTTTCTACAACTTCCTGGAAAATTTTGATAAAGGCAGCCTATTCAAGGACTCCCGTCGGAATTTTGATAGCCTGCAGAAGAATTCGAAAATTTCAAGAGTAAAAAAAAACCAACTGGAATTGGGCTCAATGAGGCGCAAACTTGACCACAGTCAAGTATGCAGCATTTTTTTTTCAGAAGCTCGTCGCATTCTTCTACAGCACTGGACAATGCTGCTTTTTCCACTAATGGGGGAAAAAAGTTCCTGAGAAGTATTTCGACAGGAGGTAAATGAAAACAAATTGGCCTCTCCGGTATGGGGCAAATTACTCCTTGTTCTGGACCAGCTGCAGCAACAGAACTTCATCTACTTCATGTGAAAGCCTCTCAGCGGGAATGCAATGTTGACATTTAGTTCTCTAAATTTTCAAATACATCACAGTACGTCTGAAAAGGTGAAGGATAAGCGTGGTAAAGTTTTACTTATTCGATCTTTCTGACATTGCGACACTTTCGACTGGATAAAGAAAAATACTCTACATAACTGTACTGCACTTCAAAACAGATCATTCAAGACTCCAAAAACAGCTATGAAAAGTTCAACATTTTGATCTTAATTTGATCCACACAAAACTCGTCCATCAGATAAAACAAACGGGTTCAAAGGAAGTGTTCAGGCCACTTATGAAATTTCAACGACCTCTAAAACTGCACAGTAAATCGGAACCTGTATGATCGGACTATCTCTGTATTTTGTGGACTTATTGTCAAACTTTAAAACCGTGACTAAGAAAGAACTAAAACCTTACAAAAAAGGAGAATCCTTCGATGACGACGAGGTGTAACAAAGATTCAAAGCGAGGTTCCATGGTTTGAATGCCGACCTCATTTGAAGCAAGGACATGCCTGAAGGCAAAGTTAAAAAAAAAATTGTAGCGGTAAAATATGCAGCCGTGCGATAGAACAGATACTGTAAAAAAAATGGATAAATAAATCATAATATTGCGATTCATGACTCGAGTCTTTCCGGCGTCTTCGGACACAAGCCATCAAAAGCCCTCGTCGTCAAAGCCCTCTCCTTTCAACACCGTGAGAAGAGGAGACCCCGTAGCTCGCGGCGTCCATCATCCGGGTTCGGAAGGGGCTCCCCGAGGGCTTGATTCTTTGACAACCAGCTGATTCATCGTCACTCAGCTAGTTTCCCAACAAGCTGGTCTGAATGGCCCGAGTGCAAGATAACGAGGAAACATTAGAAAGCCCGGGTCGAATTCCTTCCAGCAACGGCGACGAAAAAGCCGTGACGAGAGGCTTTGCGTGGGAAAAATAAAACGAACTGGCGGGAACTAGAACTGTCACAAATAACTGTACCTTAGAATTTGCAGCATCACAAGCTGTCCCACAACCACGTTAAAAAAATAGTTGAGAAATTCTGGACGCTTCTCGCCACGACACGGATAATTTTAACTCCAAAAAAATTCGGACATGATTTACACATTTACTCTATACAGGACATGGAAGTTGAGCGACTTTTTGGATTCCAAATGGTTCCGAAAAAAAATAGGGGCCAGGATTTGAATAGCTGGCGCATTAAGCCCACGGGTTCATTTGCCTCTGGTTCACTTCAGCAACCAAGCGTAGTTTGGGCGTCCTTCATGAAGGACACCTTTGAGATGCACCTTTTTTGTATTCGAATTTTATTTTGGCTGAAAAGTTTTCAAACGCCAAGATACAAGTGGCAAGACTGGAAGCGTCATCACAAAATATATTTTCAATTTTTCGGAGACGCATTGAGACACCTTAACATTGGAAGTTGAAGTGAGAAAACTGACTTCAGGTCATCCAGTACAATGACAGGAAATCGTCAGTAATCCTGATCACGTGCAGAAAGTCATAATTGGGGGGGGGGGGGGGGGGGATTAAGAAAATACAACACATCTTGGATCAGCGGATGCAGAAAAGTTTGCACGAAGAAAACGAAGATACAGCGAGTTCCGATGCATTCTTGAACAAACTTCAAAATGAAACAGTCGTGCAAAATATTTCTCTTGCTCGGGATTAAAAAATTACCACTACAATTACTTTCGGTTTTCACTGACTGACTTTTTGTCACCCAACTTCTCGTGCATGTTCAACTGACCAGCTGTCACACCAGCAGCAACAGAAAAATCCGTCCGCCATTACGGACAATTATCTTCATAACTAAAATATACGATTATTCGAATTTTACAGTGAGAACATGTGCAAAAAGAAAAAAAAAGTCTTGGCGAACATTTCAACAGCATCAGTGGTCAACGCAAGGAAAAACGCATCCCAATGTTCAAAAACATGGTAATACGGATAGTTTCAACGAAGGAAACTTATTTAAAATTGAGACACGAACAAAGATGAAACCCCGAATCAATTCCATGCCGGTTCTGTCCTTCATTTTTTATGATTTGAAAATTACGGTACTGAATCCTGAATCACATGCTCATTTTTAAAGATTGGGGATGTCCTACTGTGAGTAAGTTATGCGAGTCAAACTCGAGTAAATGTACTACACGTGGGCTGTCAAAGGACACCTTTGAGATTGCACCTTTTTTGTATTCGAATTTTATTTTGGCTGAAAAGTTTTCAAACGCCAAAATACAAGTGGCAAGACTGGATCGTCGAAAGAAAAACGATCAGGTGCTGAAGCTTGTCGCTCTACGTCCACACATCGCAACATGCGGAACAACGAGAACTCGATCGGCTAGGGAAAAAACAAAGGAACAAAAAAATGTGGTACAGTAATTCGAAAGGATGTTCAGCTGGCTCAGTGAAAAAGCTTCCGGGGGAGGGGTTCGACTCGAGCCCGGAACACTCGAGACGGTTCGTTGGGAACGGGAAGGAAAACTAACGGAGCGACCCTCTTTTCGTGGAACGCCGGTCAGCAGCGTTTGTTCCAGTTCTACCCTCGGTCAGCGAACGGGTCTCGGCGCGCGAGACTTCCTTGGCTATCCGAGTACAGTATATTTCTTTTATTTGCTTACTTAGGGGCATCAGAACTTGATGAATTCCTTCAACCGGTTCGTTTCGGTCACCGAAAAGGTGTTACCGTGGTGAGCTTGGGGGGTTCTAGCTCATAAATCTTCTTTCGAACCGGGTTTTCAACAATTTTCTGCAGTGGAGGCAATTTGCATTCCGATGGAATGGCCCGGAAAGCCCCACAATTTTCCATTAGTAGGACTAAAGTAACGGAAGACCATGCAAATTTCGAGTACCGTACTGTTTAATGAATTATCGACGACAGTCCAGAAATTGATTTTCATGGTTCCCACCGATTAAATTACCAAGACCAGCCGCCCGTTTGTTCTACTTTCCCTGAATAAACGTAATGCACATGAGGTCGAATTCGCGACAAAAGAAGTACTGAAGATCAAATTATGAAAGCAACCAAAATAACTGCTTATTTTTCATAAGCATTCACCTCACGGCTATATTAAGCGCAGTTATGAACCCTAGGATCCTTGATTGAAAATAATGACGGAAACGGAGTCGAAAAATTCTTCAGACGAAGGTTTTTCGGATACCTTTGGAAACAATTTTGAAATCAGAAGTAGATGTCTGAACTTCTAGAATACAGACACGCAGATGGCTGCGATGGAAAAGTGGCCCAATGGTAAACTGAACGCCACCCATTCCAGCACCCATAAAGATGCTGTCGAACGGTTTCCGGGTTCGGAAACATGGTAAATTACCTTTTTTTAGCGCTATAAATTATATAATTTCACTTATCAACCTCCCAAAACTTTCTTGATGTTTGCGCGAGGCAAAGAAAATGCAACATAGGGTATTTTAGCTGCGCCAAAAAAAGGGGTTTCACAAATGAGGCCCAATTCCAGTCACAGCAACGTTTGGCTTGCACTCCAGAAAATGGTTGCATATTTGCGTAGTTCTTTCCTTCAGGAATGCATGCACATAAAGATTTGGTCAGTCAAGCGTAAACTTCAGCTCATTGGGTTAACGATCAGTTTTGGTTACTTTCGGCAATCCCAACGCTCACTCGGGCTTGGCAACCACTTGACCCAGTAGCAAATAACTCACAATACCTCTGGGACAACGAAACACAGAAGGACACAGACGAAGAGGGGAAATGAGGAGGAGGAGGAGGAGAATGGAAATGAATGAATGAATGGACAAACCTTGAGCAAACGGGCCTCGTCGTCGTCGTCAATGATCGGCGCAGCGGACCAGCGTTTGTTTTCCGCCACCAATGCTGGCGGGCCGGGCCCACTGCCGACGCCGTTGGCAGCAACCCGGTCGCAGGAATGTCCCGTGCCCAGGTCGCCCGGCCCGCCGATCCGGTTCAGCGAGGGCTCCGACCCGCGACGCACTTGCAACGTGTTGCACATCGCCGCGTCCACGACCGTCAGGCCCGAGTTGCCTCGCCTTTGCAACTCTTCGCCCGTGATCTCGATCCCATTGCGCGAGAACGGCTGGAACTGATGGTCCATTCCCTGCATGGAACGCAAGTATTCTTTCATGAACGACGCCTTCCCCTTTTTATTCCCCATTTACCCCATTTTTATTTATTCAATTACTGTATTTATTTTTCTCTCACTCTCCCACTGCGCCCGAGGGACAAACGGCAAGGAATGTCACGCGCGGTATGCAGTGTCTTCTATCCTTATGCCACGGTTCGCCTGGAGTTTCGAAGACGACAAAAACTACTATACAGTATATTGCACACAGAAAGTAAAGTGTTTTGGCTTGACAGCATTTGCGATTTTGATTTTCCAAATAAGAAACTTCCTGTGTCACCATTTCGGGGATGGTGACCGGGATGTGGTATATGTCTCTGAAAAAATATTTATTTTCTCGCGGGAAAACCATTTTTCAAGCAAGCACATTCCTCGCCAGATTTACGGACAACATTTTACGGGGTTCCTAAAAAAATTGCGTTTGTAATTTGCCCACGACTTCAATGAAATGGAGATACAGTATTTCGCAAAAGTTTAAAATATGATTAAAGAGGGGAAAAAATCACAGTGGTGCAGCAATTTCGCCCCTCAAGCTAAACAGCTTATAAAACATAAATTTAACAAGATTAAGTAATTACTGAGTGGTCGAGCATTTTTGTCTAGCTGTTCCAGGACTACGTAAGGATTACCAAATAGCGAAATATTTTCGGGAAACAAAATGGCATTCACGCCGAAGAAATCGCACTTTAATTTTAGGTAATACGCTGCTTAACAGAAAATAGCCAATCTTTTACTTTTTCAAAAAATAATTATAATTTAGGTAGACCTTGTTCTAAAGCGCTACTTTGTTCTGAAGGGTGTGACGGTTACTGATGGCTAAATATGAGGTGTTTTTTGCAGGATAATGTCTGAATTATGTCCCAGGATCACTCAAGCATCGCTTTCAATACCAGAGCGAGCAAGACACGAGCATGGTTGTTTGCAAAAATAAACCAAAATGCAAGACTTTTTCTTCCTGGCTCTGAAAGTTCGTGACCGACCATCCAAGATACTGTTACATATACTGTATATAGCATGTCCGAAGCACGAAACGTAGCATTGAACAGACCTGAATGATAAAGACATTCCCCCTTTAAAGTAAATGCGATCGTTAGCTGTTCTTTTTGTTCTTCATACGAAGCATCTGATGTATTTGCACAGTACTGCCCCGTATTTCATCTTTCAGCTTTCCAGCCCATTGACCATCAAAGGAAGAGGAGGGGCATGCTCAATTCAGCGTGTATGTTCACAGAGAATACAAGTGCCAAGAAAAAAATCTGCTTTTCTGGCTTCGAAGCGTAACTCTTTTACAACAGTCATTTAGACCGCTCCTTACACGAACGAACGTTTTACCAAAGGGGTGCTTTTTTATTTATAAAAAAGCCTCTGTATATGGTATAGGGCCAGTGGTAGTCCGAAATGGTGACACACGAAGTTTCTTTTTTGGAAAATCAAAATCGCACAGGATGAACAAACTCCAACAATACCTCAATTTCACTGGTATATATTTAGCCGTAGCCTAATTTCAATTCATTTGAGCGGAAATGAGGCTTTTTACGTCGTGATTTCAACTTCGGCATTTCGCTCCGATTGACAGATTTTTAGTGCGAGTATACTTCAACTTTTTTTTTTAAATGACAGTAATATTATTTCACATTATTTGGAAATTTTTTCCCTGACTGATTCAATACCATAATTATTAATATTAATACAACCGATTATTGTATACGTTATATTCAATTTCGGGTTAAACCAAACTGCCATTATCAGGGGCAATCGGAGTTCCATCGTCCTTAAAAGAACTCATCCGGAGTAAAACCCCGTGAGAAAAGATTGCTCATAACCGAAGCTTCGCATTGAGAAAATGTTGTCAGTAAATCTGGCGAGGAATGTGCTTGCTTGCAAAATGGTTTCCCCACGAAAAAATAAATATTTTTTCGGAGACATATACCATATCCCGGTCACCATCCCCGAAATGGTGACACACGAAGTTTCTTTCTCGGAATATCAGAATCGCAAAAGATGAACAAACTACAACAAAACCTCAATTTCACCGGCATATATTTAGCCGTAGCCTATTTTCAATTCATTTGAGCGGAAATGAGGCTTTTTACGTCGTGATTTCAACTTCGGCATTTCGCTCCGATTGACAGATTTTTAGTGCGAGTATACTTCAACTTTTTTTTTTTAAATGACAGTAATATTATTACACATTATTTGGAAATTTTTCCCTGACTGATTCAATACCATAATTATTAATATCCGATTATTGTATACGTTATATTCAATTTCGGGTTAAACCAAACTGCCATTATCAGGGGCAATCGGAGTTCCATCGTCCTTAAAAGAACTCATCCGGAGTAAAACCCCGTGAGAAAAGATTGCTCATAAATTTATCAGTTGAAGAAAAGAAGANCCGATTATTGTATACGTTATATTCAATTTCGGGTTAAACCAAACTGCCATTATCAGGGGCAATCGGAGTTCCATCGTCCTTAAAAGAACTCATCCGGAGTAAAACCCCGTGAGAAAAGATTGCTCATAAATTTATCAGTTGAAGAAAAGAAGAAAAAAAACTCACGTCAGCAGTTTGACAGCTGATTATTCAATAATAATTAATCAACTCATCTGGACACGCAAGATGAAATCTTTCCCCAATGAAGCAGCCGCCCACCAAAATATCGCTCCCCCCCCCCCCTTACGTTAGGTCGATTCCCTTGGGCCAACAGGCTTGGTCATTAGACTTGATTTATAGTTTGCGACTGGACCTTCTAAAGGCCGGAACGCCGAGAAACGTGTTTGGAAGACAGCCCATGGTTTTGAAAGGCTGGAGAGTGGGTCGGCGATGCTGACGATGATGGGGACGACGACGCCGACGTGCCATCCCCAATATGGTGACTAGGGCCGCCTTCTTCTTCATAACAGGCGATGATCTGTTCTCTGTCGTCAACCACGTCGCTGAGGCGGTCATCCGGGTCCAGGATGCCGCCTCCGGAGCCCTGCAGCGAGTGCACCAACACCCATGAGTCCGGTGGCTGCAAAAAATCAAATAAAAAGCAATGAAAATACGTTATAATGATCACTTTTCTGCGTTTCATCATTCTCTATACGCTGCCATTCAAAAAAAAATTACTGCGCAGATTTTGAATCACCCCAAATAGCCTTTATGTTCATGCTTATTACCAAGTTTTCTACAGAAAATTGAATACGCAATGCAACCACGTGTCGTAAAGGCAGCATTTCAAGGAGTGTCTCTGCCCCCCGTGAAAGTTGAAGCGCGAAAAGTTTTAAAACTGCGTGATCAAAAATCAGTAGGAATAATCATAAATCAGATTATTCTCGGTGAAAATTGAAATCCACTTAATTCATCCATCCCGACATCAACGCGGCCAGCATCCAATTCACAAAAGTTATGAAGCAACTCTCCTTCGTTATCCAATTCAGCCTGACCTCAACTCTTTCGTCCGAAAATGAGTTGATTGCACTCAATCTTACACTCAAATTGCCGGAGGGCGAGTACTAACAAAACTAGAATCATGCATCGAGAAGCACTTTCGACTCAAAATTGCTGATAGAAAAATTACTCCAAAATTGCACCACATTCGAACAGGCGCGTTGATCGCAATAATATTATACAACAATCACAGTACGCATGGAGATGTTGAACCTTATAGACTTCGTCGTTATTACGACATTAAATTGAATGATTGCACAAGAAAAACCTTCCCATTGAAATCGCAAAATTTGAACTATTCACATATACTCGGGTGCTCATCAGAAGGAGGTACGTCTCTGAGAAGCAGGGACAATGGGGAAAGCATCTGAAGAGCAAGCGAAAAGTATCAAATTAGGCATTTCGCTGAATTTTAGGCACACTTAACTTTTCCCAACACAAGCGATTTATTCGGTTATGTGAAACAGCTCCACGTTTACGAAGCTTCAAATACAGTACATTTGAAGGAAAATTGTTCAAAAGAAAAACAAGCCCGAAAAAATAGGTTCAAACCTCAGATCGTTTCGTCGCCCTGAAAAGTTTCATTCAACGAGTAATAAAACGAAGGGCATCAATTTTTTGCTGAAAAAAATGCCGCGTTGAATCGAGTTCAAAATCCCCAGCCGGATTTAAATTGAAAACAAAAAACAAAAACAATATGATTAGCCGTTCATCTTGCGAGTCATCTTCATCCCTCTCCGCGTTCCAAGTGTTAACGCACAGCCTCATCTTATCCCTTGAAGAGGGCTTGGATACGGTTGCGAAACACAACTGGCAAGATTACGTCTCGCGAGGCGTGAATTGAATACCATTTTCATGTGGCGCAGAACTCAATCTTCTCCGTGGGGATAATAAACGCTTATTGCGCACGTTCGTATGCCCGTTTCACGTGCTGTTTACACGTACAAATTTTGATCAGTTTTTCTTTGCGCAATCTGCAGAGGACCGATTAAAGCACCGTTCATTTCAAGCCTTTCACCCCCATTGAAACTTCCCAGGCTTCTGACGAGAGAAAGCATGAGAACTTTGCGTCATTCTGAACGAAAGACGCCTTATTCCATTTTCGCAAATCCATCGCCGAAGTCGCAGAGAAAAAATACATTACTTCGAAAAAATCTTGATCTTGCTGAGCATTGGCTTCTGAGGAGGAAGGATGAGATTTTTGCGTCACACGGCGGGGTTTTGCTAGTTACTTCTGTTCATCCCTTCAAGTCAATGTCAAAAATCGTTAAGATGCTTCCGGGGAACGAATTTATAACAATCTTGGTGAGCATTTCCCTCACAAGTTTATGAAAAAGAGTTGCTTCTGTGCTCGAAGTACTATAGTTTCGCTCATGTTCCGCAGAGCTTAGTTTCAGAAGCCCTTCGCATGCCACTGTTAACTTCACAAGAACAGTACTGAAATTCTTCACCATCGAAAACTTCGAGTTCGCTTCGTCCGTCTGCGAAATTTTCGACGTGGGTTGAAGAAACTCATGTTTTGTTCAGCGACTTCTTGGGATAGCGCTCCATCCCTTTCTTGAATACAGCCAACCCTTAGATCTGTGTTCTCGTTCTTGAACATAAGAAGATACATTATAAGTAATGCTATTACCGCTTGAAGCAGGGTGAATTAAGAAGACACGAGGGAATACTGTACACAGAAGAATGAAGATTCATCCGGGGTTTCAATCTGAAATGCAGAACCAAAGTTTGTTTCTCGGCAGAGTGTCAAGAATAAATTCCTACGCAGCCGAAATTTCGAGGAATAGATGGGACATTTTGTCAATCAATTATGGCATTTAAGTTTTCTGAGCGAAATCCTCAAAACTCCTGTGAAATCAGTATCAAGATACAACATCTGCTGATTCGCGAATATTTTTTCCATCATTCACTATGACAATGAAATGTTCAATTTTACGGCAATAACATCTGTACTGTGTCCAGTATTTCATCGGAATTTTTATTCACTGTATATTTTTATAAATATTTATACCAAATTAAAATAAAATAAAAGACAGTCTTCTTGCGTGTAAAAAGAAAATTTTTAATCAGTAAGGGCTTCGTTTGACTCAAAGAGCGTAGGATTTGACGCCGCATTTAATTTAGATAATCAGTGTTTTCTAAGTCTCACTTGGCTAGTCGTTTCAGTTGTGTCCAGTATCGCATAAAATAGAATAACGTCGTTCATCAGAAGCCTACAATCACGGATTATTTTCTTGCGAGAACCCATGGTCGCCAAGATGAGACGAGTCGACTTCGGGAGTGATGCAACTACGACACGATCAACAGACGCCACAAGTAACGCAAATCATTTTTCTCATTCTTGATAACTACGGCGGTTCAGCGAAATATTCCACAGAATGATTAAAAAACCGAGGTCATTCAATCGCTCAGTCGCGATCAAGATTATTTGAAGTTGAAATGGGAAAGAGCGGAAAGATTCACGGCTATAATTGTGAGGCACGTTTGCCCTTGGTGGATCTTAATTTGACAGATGCACTGCTTGAAAAGGCATTCGAATCTATAAACGAAGGAAGCGACGTTGCTTCCAGAATTAAAACCGTGCGACACAGAACTGCGTGTGCCCCATGAATTGCTGAAAAATGTTACCGTGACGCTGAAATTTAACTATAGACGCTCACGTAGAGAAACTCAGAAACCTATTTTTAGAAGGGTTGTTGCCACCTTATTTAATCTTCAGGGTTTCGCTCGTAACCAAGTGAACTTCTAAAAGAATGACCTTGAAAAGTACAGTAGCATCATTCAAGCAACATTTGTCAAGTTCTCTTCACCATAATTGGCGGTCAGACTCGAGAATTGTTCAGTCATTTGCAATGCATTACAGTACGGTATTTCAGGAAAGGTGAACCACCTGAAAATGTAAAAAATGCAAAAAGTGAATCAAAGCGCATTAATTTCTCCAAGTCACAGGGTCAACTTGCCATCCATTAAATTTAAATCTATGAGCTCATAAAGCAACATTAGCCAGGAACTAGCAGTCCGACAAAATTAATTACTGTACTAACCAAACTTCGTGAAATCGTAACACGAAGCCGATGAAAAATTGTATTTTACTTGAATCAAGAGATCAAGTAGCTACTATCGTATGATCAGAGCTACACCGACTTCGCAACCAAAATTATACTTGAGGTTGAAGCGCTTCTGAACTTCTTCCTCAGACTGGATCGAAATATTAATACAGTAATCTTCAAACAACTGAAACCAAAACCATCTCAGCATGCAAGGAACATGTTGAAGAAGACCCAACTTTGTTCCAGTTTGTCTGAATCACCATCAAAATAAAAGCAACGATAAGGAAGTGCGAAGTTCTGCAAGGCAGACAAGAACGCCACTTCATACAAATCCTTGCTCCACGTTTTTTCGCACGAGTACGCGTGAGAAAATTAAAATTCAAACTCGACTTCTCTTCCGGGAAATTTTCGGGTCGGCAATGTAAAAATATAACGCTGATGCAAATTACGGTATTCCTTCTCTTTCACAGCGGAATAAATCACGGAGGGAACTCAATTTTTCAACGCGTCACGGCATCAAAAGCGCCACATTCGCACCACGGGGCGCAAATGTGCCGCGAAAAAGAGCGAGTAAAAAGAAAAACGTCATCTCCCCCGCAGTTCATCGAATCACCTCGGGTTTCTCCCAGGGCCCTTCAAGTGTCGAGAGCCATGGGAAAGACTAGAAACAAAAACAAAATACACGAGTATAACACGATTATTTATTCCAATGGTCTCCCGAAAAAAAAGAAGAGAGAAGCGCAACAGCGTTTTTCACGTGGGTGTCCAAACAAGTCAGTCTGTTCCGATCCCACGTGCGCATCGCCGAGTTTATGAAGCTCCGCTCTCGATAATTTTACGGGGCACAGCAAATAACGAGGCTCGTTTCCGAAGGCATATCCGTAGGCATAGAATGGGAAGACAAATCATAAATTCAGATTTAAATTCGGCAAGTGCCCGTTTCTCATATCTTCGACACGGGGAACACGAACGATTACGGGGTCTAAATGTTTGTACACACAACGGATTCTTGATGCCTCGAGAAAACAAGCCGGAACCATTTTTCTTTCCCAGATGATGCCAGGCGTTCCTTGAAAACGCTGAGCCGCGAGAATCCGCGGTGGGATTATCCCGGGGATGAAAGTTTCTCGCGGCTTATCTCGCATATCAAGAGAAAAACCACATCCTTCATCCTTTCGCTCCTCGACGCATGTGAAAACAGCGTCGTTAATGGCTTCGCATGCAAGATTTTCACCGATTGCCTCGTCCCGATAACTAAATCACATAAAAGCTTCGTGATGTAATTCACTCCTCGCCCACAACATAACGCCAACTGAGGACTGAATCACAAACTGGCTTACACAGCATAAAATTGGACGGGACAGCAGAAAAACAAAAATCCCCGAGCCTCGACTGTTGGCGTCTAAATTGCCGAGGTACTCCAAAAGGATTGCGCGAGAAAAGACCGCAGATAAGAAATCGCGCAGGAACCAAAACCCCGCCAACACTCAACAAGAGTTGTATGACCTTATTCACACATTCTTTATACGAAACAAATGCAGTTCTTGTATTTCACGGTAAAGCAAGCGATTCTTTGGAGGAAAATCATAGAGAAAACATTTTTTTCAGGTTGTGAGCGTATTTTAGCTCAATTTGAATCTTCGTGAAAATGAAATGAAGGATAGTCCAAAAACTTGGCGCATGGGCAGCAAGCACGTAAACCTGATCTAAAAGATAAAAATAATGCCAAACTTATTTTAATGCAATTCATTTATGGGTTATTTATGCTTTCTGAATGAATGAACAGAAAGCTTTACTTTCTGCTTTTCAGCATTCAGAAGGTTTAATCAACATTCCCACATCCAAACCCCCTCCCAAACCAATCCAAATCCATCCAAACGCATTCAATCACTTCAGAATGGGAAACAGAGAAAAAAGCTGTACATGGATACCAAAATAAAAGAAAATACATTCCACAATGTACAACAGCACAACTGATGTGTATGCGTACACCCCCTTCTTTCCCTGACATTGAAAACAAAATATCAAGAACAAGAATTCCAGCATAAGCCTCAATTATAGCAATTGCAGCAGTTACTGAACCCAATTTAAAGCACAAGGTCGTTGGCTTGTTCCCAGATAAGGTTTAGTTGAATGAACAATTTAAAGAGAATCTTTGATGAGAAATCATATCAGGCCAACAGTTTATCTTGATCCTCCATGATTTCACAACGGGTCTCTTCTTTGCTTTTGTCTCTGCTTTCCAAAGTTGGTTGTCTCCTTCTCAAGAGGTTTGGGTCTGAGGTATTTTCTCAGGTAGCCGCCAAACGCATTCAAGACGTGATGAAGACAGGCGTTGATGGATGCAATCGAAACGCAAATATGCCCCGATGGAGGCAAACGCAAAGTCATCGCATGTCAAT